ATAGATAGAATAAGGAAGGAGACTCTTCGGTCTGCGGACGCTGCAGATATACCTCGAAGTCTCCGTAGCTCTCCCCACCTCAAGGATAGTGCGCCTGAGTGGAGGTACCTGGATCTGCACATGAAAAACATGCGCAGGAAGGGCATGAGTACACCACAGCGGTACTCAGTAAGTGCCAAGCCTAACCTGGGTTAGGTAGTGACGAGGAAGGTCAGGGCCCTACTGAGATAAATGTATAATAATAAATTAACAGTATGAAAAACTGACAGTAATAATGAGTACAGCAATGAGATAAGACAGGTTAAGCAAGGAAACAACAGCTACACAAAGAACAGAATAAACACGGAATATGTACAACTCAATACCAGTGATAACAATGAGGATCTCCCAGGATACCGTCCTGTAGTCCTTTTTCTCAACTGTCCAGTGGATCTCCCGGGATATTGTCCCGTAGTCCAACCATCAATATGCAGGGGGATCTATCGGGAATCTAACCCGCAATCCCAAAGTAAAAGTGCGGGGGGATCTACCGAGAATCGAACCCGTAGTCCCAAAATAGAAGTGCGGGGGGATCTATCGGGAATCGAACCCGTAGTCCCAAAGTAAACAACAAAAGGGGGGAGCTACCGGAATCTCATATCCGTAGTCCCAATATAAATGCACAATCACAACCAGAAGATACACATAAACGAAATACAAAAGACAAGCAACAGGTAGTACTGACCTAGCATGCTTCACGTAGTACAGTCAAGGCAACTTAAGCAATTAGGCAAGTTAAATCAATTAAAACATGCTTCCCTAACCTAGCACAAGTTATAATTGCAAGTAGAATAAAGCAAATATGAAAGAACTAAATCTCAATATCTTAAGTAAAACCGGATTTTCAACAATTGGCTCAAGTACGCGCTCGTCACCTCGCGTACAAGGCACTCAAAATACCAAATAACAAATCCTAAGGGGAAAGGTCCCCCACACAAGGTTAGACAAGCCACTTACCTCGAACCGGCTCAAAATCAACTAGAAATCACGCCTTTGCCACGAGTATACGACTCCAAATGTCCCAAATCTATTCAATTCAATTACACATTGTAAATAAAATCGCAAACAACTGGTTTTACTAATAAATTCAAAGCTACAGCGCGAAATTAGGTAAAATGACCAAAATGCCCTTTAGACCAACATCTCGGAATCAAATAATTTTCACATTTTCAGAACCCTCGTACTCTCACGAGTCTAACCATATAAAAATCTCCCAAATCGGAGGTCAAACACCCACTCAAAACTCAATAGTTCAGCCTACGAAGTTTCACCTAATTTTTCCAATTTTTTTGACGCCAAATTCGAATTTTAATGATGGATTTAACTACAAATGATGAACTATAACTAGAAGGGATTAAAGGAATGTTACCCAATAGCCTTCTCTTCAAAACCCTCTGAAAATCGCCGTTCCCCGAGCTCAATTTGATTTTTCTAACTTATGAAATCTAACCCTCGAAATTTCTATATCTGCACAGGCATTTCTGCTTCTGCGGACAAGGGACCGCATCTGCGGAACAAGAGCCGCTTCTGCGGTTTTCATGAAAAAGCCAGGGACCGCATCTGCGATAAAAGGGTCGCAGGTGCGACACCGTATCTGCGGGGGGAACATCCGCTTCTACGGAAACTAAGGAGATACAGGAGCCCGCATCTGTGATGCTTGAGCCGCTTCTGCGGCTTCTGAGGGAAAGGGGCAAAGACGCTTTTGCGTCCACTTAGCCGCTTCTGCGGTGCCGCATCTGCGGTTCCCAAGCCACAGATGCGAAAATACCAGAAGAGGAACACTTCAGCTGCTGCAACACTTCAAAATTCTTCCGTTAACCACCCGAAATCACCCTGAGGCCCCTGGGACCTCAACCAAAAGCACCAATAACACCTAATACCTCATTCAAACTTGTACCAATCCTTAAACCACCTAAAACAACGCCGAAAACTCGAATTAAACAAGAATTTGAGCCTAAGAACTTCAATTTTTATCAAAATACGCTTCCGATCAAAAACCTAACCAAAATACGTCCAAATGACCTAAAATTTTGCACACACATCCCAAATGACATGACGGAGCTCAACTTCCGGAATTCCAATCCGATCCTCGGATCAAAAACTCACTTTCGGACCGGAAACTTCAAAAATTCAAACTTCGGCATTTCAAGCCTAAATGAGCTACGGACTTCCAAAATACATTCCGAACACGCTCCCAACCCCGAAATCACCTAACGGAGCTAACGGAACCATCGGATTTCCATTCCGAGGTTGTCTTCACACTGTTCCGAATACGGGCCACTTTTCAACACTTAAGCTCTCATTTAGGGACTAAGTGTCCCAAAACTCTCCGAAACCCAACACCGAACGTCCCGGCAAACCAAAAATAGCATAAATGAACTTAGGGGAAGAAGTTAATAGGGGATCGGAGCGTTAATTCTTAAGATGACCGGCCGGGTCGTCATAAGCGTGCTTTTATAGGGAAAAATAACTTCTGCATGGTATATGAAAAAGCAAAGAGGAATTTTAAACGTTGTCTAAAGAAAAGCGTGCATGAATGTGATAGGAATGTAATTATTACACTAACACATACCCCCAACGGAATATAATTACTACTTTAATTGTCTTTATTATGTTCACTCCTATGTACTATGCAATTAACGTGCTCAAGTTTGTTTAATTCATTTTCTAACACTTCAGCTCAATGTGCTGAAGTTATTTAGTTCATTTCTAAAAACTTCAGCACTTGATAAGCTGAAGTTTTTCTCCTGCACTCGATAGTTTTTGTCCTAAAGTTTTTTCAAATAACTTCAGCTCAATATGCTGAAGTTATTTAGTTCATTTCCAAAAACTTCAGCACTTGATAAGCTGAAGTTTTTCTCCTGGACTCGATAGTTTTTGTCCTAAAGCTTTTTCAAATAACTTCAGCTCAACGTGCTGAAGTTATTTAGTTCATTTCTAAAAACTTCAGCACTTGATAAGCTGAAGTTTTTGTCCTAGACTCGATAGTATTTGTCGTAAAGCTTTTGTTTATTTAGTGTATTTAGTGATGAGCTGAAGTTTTTGTTCTACATTTGACACTTTTGTTATGACTTTTAACCAAAACTACAGTCTACAGGATGAATCCGATTTGCGTTGTTATAACTTTCAATGGGAGTTGGACTCCTGATTTCAAATACTTGGATCATGATACAAAACTTGTTCTACTTAATAAGCACATATCATTCAATAGTTTCCTGAAGAAAAGTAGTGAAGTTGCAAATATTGATTCAACCAGATATGTACTAAAGTATGGTTTGATATCAAACTAAATACAAGCAAAGGAATGCTTGTAACTTCTGATGAAGAACTCAGTACGCGTATACATTTGCTTACAACTGATTCAGCCTACAAGAATTGCCATTTCGTCATCGAAAAAATACAACCTTCAGAATCCGCAGCATTCAACCAATCTCTTGCATATGCGATAGATTCAAAACCTGAGGCTGACTATCAACATGAAGTACGACAGCCAATAATGGAAGTAGACAACGGGCAACAACTTTCTAATATTACAGCTGCTTCAGAATATATAGTGCTGCCACAATTACCCCCTCCTCCAATAAATTCATATCAGTTTGTCGATGACCAAGAAGAAGAAGGACAACTAATAATGCAAATTGACAACCAACACACGATCCAACAAAGCTTTTTGTTACCTTCTGCAATGATAAGCAACAATGAAGATGAAGTAAACATGGAGCTTATACCAATAACATCAGATAGAATTGAAGAAATTGCTGAAAGTTCTTGTGCCTCTCAAAAATCAAGAAAAAGAGTGAGGAGAAAGGTGAAAGAATCTCCACCATGTAAAATACTTAGGCACGATGCGTTGCCTGAGGAAGTAAGAGTTGGATCAATCTTTGAGAACAAACAAAACATGACTAAATTTTTCTGCAGTTTGGAGATAAACCAGAAAGTTGAATTCACTGCTGTTAGATCATGTTCCAATAGATATGAGCTGAAATGCATCGTGGACAAATGTGGTTGGAATGTACATGCTACCAGAATAAAAAATTCCACACTGTTCAGGGTTATAAAATATCATAACATCCATGAATTCTCGGTTGATACAAGAAAATCATATCAGAAGCATGCTACATCAAATTTTATAAGTGAACAAATTATAGAACATGTTCGAGACAAAAAGATAGAGGTTACAGCAGCCTTTGTAGAAAATGAAATGAAAAAGAAATTTGGAATTGACATTGGTTATCACAAGGCATGGCGTGCTATTCAAAAAGTTGTTGCTTGCATAAGGGGAACACCTAAAGAGAACTACCAGATTCTTCCTTCATACCTACACATGATGGTGGCCAAAAACCTAGGAACGTACATAAGCATAAAAAGATATGCGCAGAATAGGTAAGCAAAGCAATACTAACCATCAGCCTGAAGTTTCAAATGTTCCTATTTGAAAAACTTCACATCTTATGATTTGTTTTTTTTGTGTTTCACTATACAGATTTGCTTACATGTTCTTTTCTCCTGCGGCATCAGTAGCTGGTTGGTCCTACTGTAGACTCGTTATTGCAGTAGATGCAACGTTTTTAAAGTCCAAATATCGTGGTGTTCTATTTGTTGCTGTATCGAAGGATGCAAACAATCAAATCTTTCCTCTATGTTTTGGTGTAGCAGAATCAGAAAACAATGAGGCATACATTTAGTTCTTCGGGGAAATGAGAAAAGCAATTCAAGTCCGTCGTGAACTGGTTTTCTTGTCAGATAGAAACCAATCGATCGCAAATGGGATTAGAAAAGTTTTTCCTGAAGCTCACCATGGTATCTGCCTCTATCACTTTGAGAAAAATTTAAAGCAAAGACATGCAAAAGCCACGGTAATAAATCTTTTTCAACGTGCTGCAAAGTCATACAAACGTGAAGATTTTAATTAGTTAATGTCCCAACTCAAAATTATTGACAAGAAAACATACAATTACATAATGGAAGAGCCTCCCGAGAGATGGGCTCGATCGTGGTTCCCACGGCGACGTTATGATATGCTAACAACAAACATAGTAGAATCAATGAATTCCGTTTTACTAAAAGGGAAAGAAATGCCTATTTTAAGAATGTTAGATTTCATCCAAGAAAAGTTCGGAGAGTGGTTTTACGAACGGAGAAAAAAGGCAAATGAAACTTTTCACAGAGTATCAATATGGGCAGAAGAAGAGATGACTAAGAAGATGGACTTGGATTGCAAAATGTTTGTGAGTATATTTATTAACTTCAGCTTTTTATATGTGTTGCAGTGATTTACTTCTTAGATTTAAAAAATTTCATACTTTTTCTTTTTGAAGAAAAATACACTAATATAGTTTGTCATAATTTTTGTATTCCTTGTTAGATGTTAAACCTTGACTCAATGTTGTTTAGAATAAATAGTGAAGGAATTGAATTCATTGTGGACTTAAAAAAGAGAACTTGTGACTACCTGGAATTCCAACTTGATGAATTGCCCTGTCCACATGCAATTGCTGCTATTAATAAGAGATATTTGCAGAAATCTGATTACTGCTCAAATTGGTATTCAAGGGAAACATAGTTGAAAACATATGAAGGACATGTGAATACCGTGGGAGATCAAATATCATGGGATATACCACAAAATGTACAATCTGAGATCACAAAACCTCCCGATGTAGAGATTTTACAAGGAAGAAGACAAAAGAAGAGGCATATACCTGCGACTGAATCATCAGTACCATTCAAGTCTACCAAATGCAGTTGATGTAAACAAGTTGGGCATAACAGAACAACTTGCTTGTGTCACGACCCAAAAATCCCTCCGAAGGAGTCGTGATGGCACCTAGTCTCTAAACTAGGTAAGCCTAACATTAACTGAAATAACATTGATATTTATTAACTTAAAATGAAATTTCTCTAAATAATTTACCATTCTCAAAACCGGTAGTACAAGTCATAAGCTTTTCTAAGAGTAGTTATACAAAATAAATACATCATTGTTCCGAACAAAAGGAACATATGGAAATAAGTACAATTGAAGGTGACTCCAAGGACCGCGAAGGCTGCAGCAGGTTTACCTCGAGTCTCCACTGCAACGAACAGCTACTATTGATCAAATACCCGGATCTGTACACAAAAATGTACAGAAGTGTAGTATCAGCACAACCGACCCCATGTGCTGGTAAGTGCCTAGCCTAACCTCGGCGAAGTAGTGACGAGTCTAGGACCAGACTACCAAATAAACATGTGCAATATAGCGTACAAAATAATAGGAATCAGATAACAATGGTGGCAACAATGATCAACCAGTAATATAAATAGCAGGCAACATAAATGTTTCTCAACAAATAATAAATACAAGTGCAATCAATTAATCAAGTCCTTCAAATATAAATCTTTCGCCTATAAATCCTTCAAGTAATAATCTCTAAGAAAATATGTTTTTCAATAAATATATTACGAATATATTTCCTTTCGAGTAAAAGCCATATTGTGGCGCCTCATTTCATAATCATAAATAATATTGGTCTCAGCCCACTTTCAGATTTTCACGGCACCTCTTGCCCATATATTTCTATCTCATTTTTCACAATAATATCCTCATATTACTCATTTCATAGGTTCCATAACTCAATACAATTAAGAATGCTCAAGGAGCCTCATTCACTTAACATAAAGTAGGGTACAACTCCCAACCCAAATAGGAAATCAACAAGAAAAGATGAAGTTATTTTTAGAAATCATTTGATAAAGAAAATACCCTTTTCAATTGAAGTACAATATCGAATGAATTATTACCTTTAATACGAAAAGTTAATAAATCAAAATATAGAAGAAATCCCTTTTTAAGTAAAGTACAACCTCAAACGGTTTAAGGAAAATTTAGCTGAGAAATCAATTGAGTTTTTTTTTTGATTTGCACCGGGTGTCCTAGTCTCTAAGAGCCCCGACTAATCCCGGGGGTGCACAGGCCCTCGGCAAGGAGTTTCCTGCAAGTGCACCACGGTTAATTCAGGTTTTTCCCAGTCCGATGGCCCTCAGAAATTGTTTACACCCAGTGAGTTTCGAACTTGAGACCTTGAAAGGGAGCAAACCCCAAGGCTGAAGTCTATTGCCACCAGGCCAACCCCTGAGGGTTTATCATCAATTGAGTTAAAAATATAACAATTGTTGAAATTTAAAGTATTGAATATATATAAAACAATAGGGCGAGGTATTCTCAACACTATGAATTTCTACACAAAGGATCACAGCCGTGAAGGAAATCTAAACCATTAAAACACTTGAATTGATAACAACAATTACAACGGAGATAAAATAATCACAGAAGGAGTACAACTCAATGCAGAGATAACAACCGGGGATCTCCCAGGATACCTTCCTGTAGTCCCAAATGTAAATACTCGGGGATCTCTCAGTATCCTCCGTATATGAGCAAGGGATCTCTTGGTATCCCGAGGATCTCTTGGTATCCTCAATATATGTGCAGGGGGGACTCCCGGGAATCTAACCCGTAGTCCCAAAGTAAATGTGCAGGGGAATCTCCCGAGAATCTAACTCGTAGTCCCAAAGTAAATGTGCAGGGGAATCTCCCGGGAATCTAACCCGTAGTCCAAAAGTAAATGTGCATGGGGATCTCCCAGGAATCTAACCCGTAGTCCCAACGTAAATGTGCAGGGGGATCTCCTGGGAATCTAACCCGTAGTCCCAAAGTAAATATGCAGGGGGATCTCCCGGGAATCTAACCAGTAGTCCCAAAAGTAAACAAACAAGGGGGAGCTACCGGAATCCCACATCCGTAGTCCCAAAGTAAATCAACTCAGGGCTGTAAATCATGAGAAAAATGGTAGAATAAGCTCAAAGGAATAACCACAGAAAAGAGTACTGGCATAAAGGAACTAGTTCAATAACGGGAAAACTAACACGTAACAACGATCCCACAGTATACAAGTCAATAATAAGGAAATCAACGGAAGTCAAGTAGTTATGAAAATATAACATAACACAGGAGAGGCAAAACTCTTCAGTTAAGTCAAATAGGAGTCATATTAATCAAAGTATAAGACTCACGGGCATGCTTGACACTAACGTATAGATACTCGTCACCATGCCTATACGTCGTACTCGACAAATAACACATAACAATTATGACACGACTCCAAATCCCTCAAGCTAAGGTTAGACCAAACACTTACCTCTCTTTGCTATCAATTCAAAATTCCAACAAGCCATTGCCTCGCAAATTCGTCCGAAGCTTCAAATCTAGTCATAATAATTCAATACACTCAATATAAATCGTACGAATTAATTCCATATAAAATTACACATTTTCTAAATTAATCCGAATTTATCTCAAAATTGCCCGTGGGGCCCACCTCTCGGAATCCGACGAAACACATAAAATCCGATAACCCATTCCGATACGAGTTCAACCATACAAAAATTATCGAATTCCGATATCAAATGGACCTTCAAATCCTAAATTTTCATTTTTGAAAAGTTGTACAAAAACTTCAATTTCTTTCATCCAAATCCGAAATAAACAATAAAAATAACCATGGATTTATGTAATATAAACACTTTCGGATATAGAACACTTACCCCAAATGTTTCCCTTGAAAATCACTTTTCCCGAGCTCTACCATCGTCACAAATGAATAAAAATGGTTAATGCCCGAATATAAACTGTTTTCCAGGCAAGTCGCATCTATGACATGCGACTTGCACTTATTTCCAGCCAAAAAAAGGCAGTCCCGGCCTTCACTAAATCTGTCATAACTTTCGGTACAGGTGTCGGAATGACGAATGTTAACTTTATGGAAACTATAATGTAAGGGCTACAACTTTCATGTTTTGCACATTTTCATATTCCTTACGGATTTAGAGGTATAATCTTCAAAAGTAGCCTCCTCGCATCAAACATTTCTGGAAAATTTCAAAACAGCTTTACCAACCCTTATTCAATCGACCATAACTTTGTGTACAAATATCAAAATAATTAATAGTTTAGCTTTATTGAAACTAGGATGCAAGGGCTACAACGTTCATGTTTTACACATTTACAGATTCCTTATAGATTTCGAGATATAAGCTTCCAAAATAGGCTCCACGATTGCATAGTTGCTGTCCAAGGCAGCTTCTGCAGAAAATTCCAGCAACTCTTTTTGTCCGATTATTCTGTTAACCTTCCGAAATCCACCCGAGGCCCTCGGGACCTTAAACAATCATACCAACATATCCCAAAATACAATACGAACTTAATCAATGCTTCAAACCACGTCAAACAACACCGAAATTACGAATCGCGCATCGAATCGAATTATGAGTTTTCGAATCTTCCAACTTCTACATTTTGCGCCGAAATATATCAGATCAATCCGGAATGACTTCAAATTTTGCACACAAGTCATAAATGACATAAAGAAGCTATGAAAATTTTCAGAACTGGATTCCGACCCCGATATCAAAAAGTCAACTCTCGGTCAAACTTTTCCAAAAATCTTCTATTTTCCAACTTTCGCCAAAATGCGCCGAATTGTTCTTCGGACTTCCAAATCCAAATCCGAACATGCTCTTAAGTCCAAAATTACGATACGGAACTACCGGAATGGTCAAAACTTGGATCCGGGTTCGTTTGCTCAAAATGTTGACCGAAGTCAACTCAATTGAGTTTTAAAGCTCTAATTCATAATTTAATCCATTTTTCATACAAAAACCTTCCAGAAAATTATACGAACTGCGCACGCAAGTCGAGGAATTATTGGATGGCGCTTTTCAAGGTCTTAAAATACTGAGATGATTATTTAATTTAAAGATGACATTTTGGGTCATCACATTCTCCACCTCTAAAACAAATGTTCGTCCTCGAACGTACTAAGAATTATTCTGAGGCTTCCAAATTGATGATTTTACTTTTACACGTATACTCTCGGTTGATCCCATATTAGCGCATTCGATATAAGTCCGACAACACCATTTGAATTGAGATCATTTCCTTTATCCATATTTGTAAACTTTAAGACCAATTTCTTACACTCAAATCATTTCTAGAAAGGTCCGATTTTCACGTCAACACACGGCATTAGTCTCGACTGGCTATAGCTACTTGTACCTACGCACCCATCAAATATAGGGTATTATATCCTTCCCCTCTTAGGGTCATTCGTCCTTAAATGAGAGGTAGAGTCTGTCTTCAAACACATAATATAACATATCTCTTTCTTTACACATCTCAATGTCCCAAATTTTTCTAACTCCCAATTTTTTCAGAAATTTCGGCAGAGTCTCCCCTGTAATTGGGCCTATCCACCTGTCAGAGTAACACCAAAACAACTCCTAACAACACATCCACAACTTAACAAATTACCATAATGTATATATCAATAACACAGATCTCCGCATTACAAGCGTGACATTATCATAAAGATATCTGGACATGAGACACATCATATGTATGACCATAACCACATATCTGGTCTTAATAGTTGTTCATAATCGATTACAAATCGCCAATTAATCTCATGCCAACAAACATCTCGTTTCAAACCTTCATTTTCTAACAACGAGGCATGAAGACCT